CATTTTGCCTTTGCTTCTTATTGTTCTAGCAATGCTGAACCAAACAGCAGTCAGTGAGTTCATCCTTTTGGGCCCCACCGACATGCAGGGGCTGCAGCACTTTTTCTTCATCTCTTTTCTGTTGCTCTACTTTACCAGTCTTCTGGGAAATGGTGCCATTGTGGCCATCGTGATACCTGAGCCCCGGCTCTAGACACACTGATGTACCTCTTTCTGGGGAACCTGTCCTGCCTGGACATTTTCTGCTCCGCAGTCACTGCTCCCAAGATGTTGACAGGCTTTCTCTTTGGGCATCAACCCATCTCCTTCAGTGCGTGCTTGGCCCAGCTCCACCTCTTCCACTTCCTGGGCAGTACCAAGGCTGTGCTCCTGGCCGCCATGGCCTATGACCACTACGTGGCAATTTGCAACCCTTTGCGCTACGTCCTTGTCATGAGTCCACGGACTTGTCTGCTGCTGGCTCTGGCCAGCTGGTCCCCTGCCTTTGTACATGCCACAATGCACTCAGTCATGACCTCTCAACTGAGTTTCTGTGACCGCAACCACATCCATCACTTCTGCTGTGACATTAAGCCACTGTTGAATTTGGCCTGCGGCAGTACCAGCCTCAACATGACCCTCCTCAGTGCTGTCACCACATCTATTGTCCTAGTCTCCATCACTCTCATAGTCCTCTCCCATCTCTATATTACCTCCTTCCTCTTCTGTAATGTCCAGTCCCAGGAAGGAAGATGGAAGCCCTTCTCCACCTGCATCTCCCACCTCATCATTGTGGCACTGCTGTACATACCAGTGCCCTTCAATTATGCACCACCTTCCTCAGTAAGCTCCCCTGGAATGGATGTGCAAGTGTCTCTCATGTACAGTGCTGTCACCCCAGCTCTGAACCCCTTGATATACACCCTTAGCCATCAGGGGGTGAGATCTGCCCTGAAAAAAAATGTTAGGGAGACAACCCTTTCCCAGAGGAAAGTGACAAAAACAAGGAGAAGATGCGGGATGTCATGACTCCACCTCTCATATTTGTAATGAAAGAGGTCAAAAGGACACTGTATTGCAAGACTCTGAAAAACTACTGATTATCTCACGTAGTTCACTGCACTTAGAAATGCACAGATCTAAATCAGGGGAGTTATTCACAGATTTAATGCTTTTTCCATCATTTTTAGACGTCTCATCGTGCCCCATGTGGTCTCTGGCTTCCAATACAGAAACGTGTGTCTACTGCAAGATTTGAGGCACAGCTGACAGCACCATGGAGTTTTCCGGGATGATCTAAGCTGTCACATGATTACTTGATGGCTACGTAGTCTCTCCCACTAGAGCATTAAACGAATCCGGGGCTGGGGCGGGGGGGGGGGCAAACTATCCCGGAGGGCACAAGAAACTGACCTCAGAATGGGATCCAAACATCTCAGAAGTGGGAGGACAAACCACACTGGCCCCAGAAGAGGGTCCAGAGGGAGACCAAATAAAAGAAGAGAGTCCCGGTTCAAAAGTGATCCACCTGACAGAGTTTGGGGCGAGCCAGGTCAAAAGTTTTGTACAAGCAAAGTTAATGGAGAGCTCAAACTGCTCGGGGAAAAGGACAGCTATGTGGAGAGCACAGGTAGGAGGAAGGGAAAGAGGTGTGAGAACAAGCGCCGGTGCTGGCAGTGCCGCGGAGCATCAGGCTGGGCTGTGGAAGGTCTAAGGACCGGCTGTCGGTGGAGCAGAGTGGCGCAGCGGAAGCGTGCTGGGCCCATAACCCAGAGGTCGATGGATCGAAACCATCCTCTGCTAATTGGTGATGTGCTTTTGGTTGGGTTTTCTTTTGTTTGTTTTTTTTTTTTTTCCTTCTCACTCCAGAGGCAGGGGACACCACCACCACGATGCAGTCCCTTGAAGCCTTCAGCAAGGTTCCGCACACTGCTGCGCTCCTGCTCTCTGCGCACCCATGGCCCTGGCTCTCCCTCAGCTCCTTCCCCCCACAAGGCAGTGGGTGTCCTGGGGACGTCGGTGTTTCTGCCTTCCCATCAGGCAGCTCAATCCCAACTTCCCAGCCACGAGCACGGACACCCAGGCTCCAGGGGCGGAGCAGGACAAGCCTGGTGCTAGTCTGGAGAGCACCAAGGTCGTTGGCTCAACCACCTGGGGGCTTTCTCTGTCCTGGTCTGTTTCTGCCATGGCCAGTAGTGTGTTCAGTCAGGAACAGGGCCAAGGAACCATTCCCAATGGGCATTGTATTGGCTATATGTGGCTAGGTGTTGGGTAGTTTAGGGCAAAAGGGGTGCTCCAGGTGGTCTCTGTGAGAGGAGCTAAGGGGCTGCCCTGCATCGCACACAGGTGGTTCCATCTCCACAGTAGACCCATTTCAGGACACAGCTGTGCCATCAGCCAAATTTGTAACCTCCCTGTGAAAACATATTCCAGAAAGGGTAAAACATGTGAGACAGAGAGAGGAGAAAGTGAGAGGTTCAGAAAGGGCAGAAGGAGAATGCATTCCCCCTGTGCCACTGGCCTCTGGTCTTCCATTGTCTACCATGATACATCTGGTTTTGTTGGACAGTTTCTCTCTTCATTCCAGTTTCTCTCCCAGGGATCCCAGATAAGGTTGCTGGCGAGAAATAAATACTGATACAGTGTCAGCTGCTTGGGGTCCTGGAGGACACCCTTCTGAGATGAGTGTATTTCTCCTGCTGAGTTGGCTCCAGGCTGGGCTCCTCACTGTGATGTTGGTACAGGAGCCAGAGGAGAGGGATTTTTGGTCTGGCCTAGAGCTGGACCTCCTGCTGTTGCTGCTTGCACCTAGTAAGAAAAGCATGTTGCTGTGGCAGGGTACAGATGAAGATCAACAATGCCCTGGCGGGAACCAAAGCATGCATTATGCTTAACAAGGCCAGATATGCATATCTGGGGAATCAGTGCGAGGAGGCCTGTCCTTTATGTAACGTCTCAAAGTCACACTCGAGTGAATTTGCTCTTCATCCTCCATCTTTTCCAACTCTCCAGTGCCGGCTGATCAAGTGTGGGGGTTCCTCCCTTTCAGAGGGGATGTTGGTACGTACAATGCCTGTGCTAATACCACAGTGTTATTTCCTGTAACACGCTCTTCCCTGAAAACAGACTCTGCTAAGCACTGTAACTTGGTTTGAAATACTATCCTGAACAATCAAGACTGCATGTCTTGGAGACCAATACCCCAGCCAACCTGCAGGGCTGCTGACCTACCTTGTCCAGGCTCCCGCAGTGCAGAGACAACCTGAAGTTTACTGGCATTGGGTGTAATAGTGTTCCTGGTAACTAAGAATTGAAACAACTTAATTTTTCTTGCAGCTTATGGTCTGTGGACCAAGGGAAACACAAGGAGCCTCTTAGAACTAGATTTTCTACCTGAAAGCAGGAGGATGGTTCTCTATCCTTTAATCCACTTGTACATTCTCCTGCCCCATATATTTAGAGAAAAGCATCGGATGCCCTCTCAGCCTTTCCTTTCATAGGCTAACCAAGCCCAGCTCTCCCAGCCTGTACTTGTATGACAGATGATCCAAGTCCTTAACCACCTCAGTGACCCTTTAGAAGGGCTGCCTGAAGGAAAGCGCCTCTGCTCAGGATCACAGCAAAATGCACCTGAGTCTGGAGCCATCTCAGGAGAGCAACCAGTGTTCTCCATGAGGGAGAGGCCAGTCTGGGGCGCAAGGGGACAGTGTGTCCCTGAAAGAAAGGACAGGGTTTGAAGTCAGCCTAGACTGTCCCAGCAGAGGAAGGCAGCCCAGCTTGTGCAACCCATAACAAACTGCTTTGGGTCCTCCTACTAGTTGGTCTTGCAGTTGAAGCACGTCCGCTGCCCCCTGTCATGATTGCCTCATTCGTCAAGGTCAGGAGCTTGGCTAGGAGTGCGACTGAGAGTAAGGATATCTGGGCAAAGGCTGCTTAGTAGGAGCTACAAGGTGAGAAACAGGACAGGCCATGACTTAGAGTGGCAGATTGAGAGGCTGTCCCGCATGCGGAGTTGAAAGGGGAAGACGCCAGCAGATCCCACAAGTGCAAGCACTGAACCACCGATCACTGGGCTGTGAATGTCCGCTTTGAGGTATGAGTGATGAGGATGTTAAGCTGGAAAGGTCTTCAGCAGTTTTCATCAGGCAACAGGAAGATTCTCCGGGGATACCAGCCTGTGTCTTTTAAGAGAGGGTATGCGAGGCTTGCACAAAATGCTGTGCCACTTCCTCTTCTGTGAGTGAAAAGTGCCCAGTGTCCCTGAAAGAATGCTGCCCTTGATGACTGATGGCCAGGGAGATGGAAAGACTGGCAGGCTGAGCCAGGAGCGTATGTCTCAGCGAGGGTGGCTGCAGGGGAAAGACCTATCGAGCATATGCCCAGAGGTCCCATGGTGTAATGGTGAGCACTCTGGACTCTGAATCCAGCGATCTGAGTTCAAATCTCAGTGGGACCTTGAGCAAGGTTTTGGCTCCCTCAGGGCTTGCTCAGCATGCTTACACCTTGACAGCCTTGCTTTTGCTGCTGGGTCAGTTGTGTCACGCACTCTGATCTGGATCATTGGCCCCTGCACCCTCTGTGCACTTGTTGCACCTGTTGGCTGTTCCTGCATGGGGGCATCCAGCAGTTTCTCACCAAATCACGCAACACCTGAGGTGCAGATCACAAAGTCCAGGTCCAGCAGGGGACGTTTTTCCTGGCCTTGTCTGGTTCTATGTTGGACATCTCCAAAGATGGAGAATCTTCAACTCCCTGAGCAACCTTTTCCCGTCTTTGACCACCAATGCCTCTGGCAGTAGCCACAGATCCAACTCTGTCCACTGCTTCTTCCTCGCTCAGTTTCTCTGGGGCTTTTCTGTTTCTCTTTGTCAACTTGTTTATTTTTGATCCTCGATCAATTCAGGGAGCTCCAGCTAAACATGGCAGTAGTCCATGCTTGTCTGTCATGAGAGACACTAGATCTCTCCTTGCACAGCAGGTAAGTGAGGGAGGAGGAGAACAACCAACCACGAGACTCCAGATATGCTGCACATAGTCTTTAATCAGAAGGAGCAAATGCAGGGGCACAGAAGAGAGACCAAGGAAGACGTCTGCAGGGTTTGGGGAGGCACAGAGAACGGCCCGTTTCCAAAGGACAAGGTCCACAGAAAGAGCTTCCCTTTTCCCATTCTGCTTCACCTGGTGGTATTCCCAGGCCACCAAGAGCAGTCCCTGACTCCAGATCCCTCTCCACCTCAGTAGGAGGTTCAGCAAAGCAGAAGAGAAGGAGCCCTTTCTCTTAGGGGCTCAGAGCAAAGAGACAGAGAAGGCAGTGCGAGGCTCGTCCAGCAGTGAGGAGCAGTGGGCACAGGACCCTCCTGCCAGGTGGGAAGAGGACACGCAGCCCATCTGGAAGCCGTGGCCACGCTCCTGCTCATGCAGGGTGCACGTCCTCCTTCCGGCTCCAAAGGGGATGATCCGCCAGCTTCAGCAGTTCAGACTGCAGCGGGGGGGAGGCAGACACAGGCCTGAGCCCCCGAGACCAAGGGAGCCCCCAGAAGAGATGGGAACCCCGCCAGTGCTGAGGGAGCTCCCAACAGCAGCTGACAGAGAGGATCCCACGGCTGTGCTCTGCGGGAAAGAGGTGAGGATGGGGCCCGGCAGGGTCACCACCACTGGGGAGGCCTCAATGAACACCGTCGAGTCAGCGCAGCGGGAGATGCAGGGTTCACTGCAACTGCTTGCAAGTGGCGTTGGGCCAGAGGTGCCGCAGGGGCGTGGGGGACATGGTCTGAAGCAAGACATCTCTCGGTGAGCGAGGCAAAGCTGAAACACAGAGCAGGCAGGGAGCACAAACCTCAATATTAGCATGTCCTTGTCTTCTTCATCTCTCTCTGTGGGCAGATCTTGTTTTAAATACACGCAGCGACTCTACAACTTCCAGCGCCCTCCCTGGCCCAGCGGGTTGCATGGAACTGGAAGGCTGGCCCCTTTTGTAATAGGTCCCATTACACTGGGGTTAAAGCCCTTGTGGAGTGACTGATCACAGCCCATCTCCAGAGCAAACAGTGCTGCATTGAAGAGAGCACTGCATGCACTTGGCCATTTGGTTAGAGACAGTCTGATGGACATGCAAATCCTGGTGGGCAGACATCTCTGCATCTGAGCCCCACTGATCCTTCCTGCTTGGAAAACCCTCCTCTTCCCAGCTCCCCCCAGCCACCTCCATGAAAAGGACAGAGGTCTCGGGGGTTGACTATTTCCCTTGCAGGGCCAAGCAGAGGCAGCCCAATATCAGCCTGAGTAGCCACCAGCACAGCACTTCAGCCCACAGAGAGAGAGAGAGCAGTCTCAGGCTTACCTTGCTCTTAGAGGAAAGGGAAGCAAGAGAGGAAGATGCAGAGCCTGGAGTAGAGCAGGCTTTTATGCTGTGTTCCAGAGCCCTGGGGGAAACCAACATTCCTTGCTCATGAAGCATCTGAACACGTAGTGGTTGCTGCTTGCCAAGGCCTCGCTGATGATGAAGCCCTTGCCTCTTTCATCTGAAATACTGTGCTCCCGCTTTCTGTCACTGAATATCAGAACAACTCATCTGTGTCGCACCTTCATAAGATCGATCAACTCAGATGTCTCAGGCATGTGCAGAAGGATATTTAGAGTGTGTTTCCATCCTTTGCCTTGTTAGCGGTGAGCGTGGCTATCAGTCATGGTCAAATTCAGTTATGAGCTCACCTCAAGTGCTTTCCTATCAGGCACTACGGATAACATCGGAGACACATGCTCCCCACACGTCATTGTAGGGACACAGGAGACACTGAGTAAGTTCAATCAGAAGGTCAAGACTGCACAAACCCATACGTGAGGTGAAACTCAGCTCTGCAGGGATGCGGCAAATCTCAACAGCAAGGAAGGACCATGCTCCATCCCTGGCAGTGTTCAAGACCAGGTTGGATGAGGCCTTGGGTGATATGATTTAGCGTAAGGTGTCCCTACCCACGGCAGGGGGGTTGGAACTAGATGATTTTAGGGTCCTTTCCAACCCTAACTATTCTATGATTCTATGATTGTGCACCATAAGGAACTTTTCTGCGGGAAGGAGTGATGGCCATGAGCACCTTGCGTATGCTCATCAGGCTCTACCACGGCCTAGTTTTGTGATGAAAGAGATGCCCTCGATCTTCTCTGAGTGAGACCCACACCCAATTTGTGATGTGGAAGAGTTGGGAAAACCCCTGAATTGCAGGCTAACATGAGCCCCGCTGCTGTGGACTTCAGTGGAGACGATGCCCTTTCGCAGGTGTGTCAGCCACACCACAGCTCATAGCTTCAGGTGCCGGTTTCATCAAAGTGCAAAACAGGTGAATGAGCGTGTGTGTCTCTTTCAGGAAGGATGCGGCATCTCTTTGATCACCCTCCTAAGTGCTGATTTCCTTGTTTCCAGCAGGTTCCCCACTTCCCAAGTTGATCCCAGGCCCCTGGTTGGAAGAAGCCTTAGGGCACGGTTTAGTCATCAAGGGGCATAACTATGGAGATCCCATGGAGAAGACACTTGAAAGTGACCTGCCTGACAGTTTTCAATCTGGTCTGCTCAGTGCTTCAAGACAGCCTGAGAATCAATCAGTGGTCCAAAGCAGCCCCTGAATTCTGCTTTTCGCAAGCTGGGCCATGCTCAAAGCCTGGCTGGTCCCTGCTCAGCTTGGAGGAGCCCAGAGAAATAGCCACAAGGCAGGGCTGCAGTGGGGAGTGGCTCCGGAGTCCCATGGGACCTGAACGTCCTAAGGGAAGGTGGGTTCTTCTGGAACAGGAGAAGCAAGGCACCCTGAAGCCAGGCTGAAGAAAAGCTTGTCTGCATTGTCCAGGAATCAAATGTGGGACAAGTGCCTGGAAGGCAGCTGTGCTCTCAATGATACCACCAATGTCCATGGGGTCACTACTGCCTCCTGCTCCCCCACTTGCCAATCTGCCTGCCTCACTCTGCTAGTTCACAGAGTGACCTGTCTACTGCTCCTCCACATCAGTGCGTGGTCAGCCTTCTCCTTCCAATCCCCAGTATGCAAAGGACCTCAAGCTGCTGGGATGTCTGTGTTTGTCCCCTGGGAGTGACATCTTGGATGTGGACACTTTTGCTGCTGGGTGCTAGTAACAGTGCCTCTCTCAGACTACATTCATTCCTTTACCAGCTGTACATGTAGTACGCACGTGGATTTGCCTTTGTGGCTACGCACCTCTGGTGGCATAATCACAGACAAAAGCCAGCCAGCTGCTCACTCCTTCCCAGACTCCGGGGGTCGGATACAGAGAGCTGAAAACAGGATGGGTTAAGACAAACATGACTTCGAAAAACACAGCTTAGCAAAAACTCCTACGGGCAAAACAGGCTTACCTTGGCAGGGGAGTCGGGGCATAGAGGGTGTGGAAATCGTTGCAGATTAAAACAGATCCATGTAGTGAGAAACAGAAACACCAACATAAAACACCGTCTTTCCTCACCCCTGTCCAAAGGTCTGTTTTACACATTCACACCACATTCCTTTCCCCGACTTGTACTCCCACCTTGTGCAGCCCTAGCCTTATTGCTACCTGAGAGCCCAGGGCTGCCCCTGACACCATGCAGCTTGCCATAGCCCGAAAAACCCCTTTTCTCTGTACCTGGAGCCATTCCTGTCCTGCCCAACACTGCTGGCCAGAGCATGCAGCAGGCAGGCAGAGGAGGGAAAAGCAAAAGGCAGACAGAGAGGGCCAGCACGGGGATGCAGATGTGAGCATGCTAAAGTGTCCTTTCCACTGCCCTTTCCTTCTTTATTCCTGCTGAGAATCTCTCTGAGGTTCTTTCTCCCTTGCAGTGCTTTCCCCAGCCTCGGTGGCATGGCTACAGGGAATCGACCATGTGCCAGCAATGTGGGTTTCTCTCCTCTTTCTGTAGGCTCTTCCTGCATGTGCTTCTCAGAGTTTACTTTTTCCTTTAGCTGCTAAACCACGCAGGCAGGCTACCAGAAGCTCAACCTCTGCCGCTGCTCTAGTAGGGGCAGCTGGGCATGCAACTGAACGAAGACCTCTGGGAAGCCTCTGACTCTTTTCTGTCCCACCCATCAGGGTCGGTGGAGGCAGGGGATGATGGTCTCCTGATACCACAGCCACCGCCATGTCCTTTTTTGCCAAGTCGACATTTTTCCCAGAACAGGAGGGCACAGATCACACCCACCTCTCATCATCTCATCCTTCAGTTAAATTTGAAAAGCCCCCTTGGAAAAGTTGTTCATTTTTGACCCTGCTGGGGACTGGTTGGGCAGAATACCCCCACGCCTCCAGCCTCTTAAGTTGTACGCAAAAACCAGCAGCAGTTGAGCTCTTTTCACGGCTCATACTCAGCCCAGGTCCATAGTCTGCACCTTAAATGCCTACCTTGTCAACGGGAGCAGAGTTTACCATTCAACCAGGACAAGACCAAGATGGAAAGGGCTTTAACTGTCTACCTGAGCACCAGGCACACTGTGGAGCTGGAAGCCACTGCAGAAACCTGGTCATTTGGTAGCAGCCCAAAAAGCAGCTGTTCACCGTAGCTGGCAGGATTCGAACCTGCGCGGGGAAACCCCAATGGATTTCTAGTCCATCGCCTTCACCACTCGGCCACAACTACCTGATGCAGCCCTCTTTGCCCCGCTGATGACAGTGCCTGTGCAATGACACCCGGCTGCCGGGGAGTTTCAGGGCAATGCTCCACTTCCAGATTTGTAGCCGGGACTTTCACTGCACGTGTAATGAGTCAAAGACCTCTCTGTGTTATCTCAAGGCATCCTGGAGACCCTGACTGACCCTGTTCAGGAGCTGGCACTGCAGGGACATCCTGGAACTGGGTGCAACACTGTCCCTGGCAGCTAAGAGCTGAGACAACTTCATGTCGCTTGCAGCTTATGGCCTATGGAACACTGGAGAAAAAGGAGCCTCTCAGAACCGGACTCTCTGTCTGAAGGGGACAAAGCTACTCAAACCTTTTCTAGTTCAACCGTTGCTTAAAGCAAAACAAGCTACAGTCCTTCCTCTGCTGACATTCAGAAAACAATCTGCATGGTGAGGCTGTCTGTGGGATTTGTTTTAGCGCAGTGTTTACAGGCTTCCCTGCACTTCAACCTACAAAAGGACCTCGAGTCCATCTCTCAGAGCAGCTGAGAGCAATTGTGATGAAAAAGGCAGAAATGCCTTTGAGGAAGCAGAACTTTTGGAGGATTGAGGCTATGAGCTCTGGCAACGCTGGCTTGCCTGCATCCAGGACACTGTGTCCTCTGAAGTCCACAGCAGCGTGACTCATGTTAGCCTGCAATTCAGGGGTTTTTCCCAACTTCCACATCACAATGACTCCCAGCTGCTCTAGGAGACTGATCCGATGTCCCTTTGTAATTTGAAATGCATGGAACTGGCCACCCCATCCCTGACCCAGAACAATGGGCTGTGAGTTTCCGGCTCCCTTCCCCACACCTCTCCTCAAAAGCACGTCATCCAGGCATCTGGTGTCTGGGACACCCTTGCTGAGCAAAACAGGTCAATTTGGGTGTGGGTTTCACTCAGGGAAGATCGCGGGCGTCTCTTTCATCACAAAACCAGGCCGCGGTAGAGCCTGATGAACTTAAGCAATGTGCTCGTGGCTATCACTCCTTCCTGCAGAGAATTTCCTCATAGTGCACAATGGTCCTTTCTTGCTGTTGAGGGTACAGAGGTGAGACTGTCCGGCCTGCAGTTCCCCAGGTCTTCCTTTTTTCCTTTTATATATCTGGGGGTGGGGGTGCGTATTTCCCATTTTCCAGCCACTGGGTATCTTACAACTTTGCTATTTTGACGGATAGCGGCTTAGCAACTTCCTCTGACAGTTCCTGCAGGACTCTCGGGTGCATCTCCTCAGTTCCCAAAGGACTTGTGCACTTTCAAGTTCCTGACATGGTCTTGAACTTCCATCTTCTTCATGTTGGTCACAGCCAGGCCTCTCGTTTGGCTCACCTAAAGCGTGGGGCTACAACTTCTTTCACCTTCCTTTGCTGTTCTGTGTACCTGAAGAATGCCTTCTAGTTGTTTTTCATGGCCCCAGACAAGTTCAGCGCCAGCAATGCTTTGGTTTTCCTGATGCCCTCCATACACGCCCATGACTTTCCCTGTAGTCTGCCCAGGATGTGTATCCCTGCCTTCACTGCCTGTGCATCTTTGGTATGTTTTTAGTTTTGTTTAGTTTGGTTAGGTTTGGTTTGGTTTGGTTCAGTTTGGCTAAGAGGCCTTGTCTTCCCCAAGCTAGCCTCCTGCTTCCCGTCGGACTTCTTGCATCTTAGGATTTCTAGAGGCTCCACAAAAACATCTTTCAATATGTCCCAGGTCTCAGCATCCTTTCTCTCTGAGGCCGTTTTCCAAGGGATCGCACACGGTAGCGCCTTAAACAGCCAAGAGCTTGCCTTTCTACAGTGTAGGGTCCTGACTCTACTTTTTACCTACTCTATACCTCTCAAGGCTGAGAATTCTACCAAGACATGATTGCTGCTGACCAGGCTACCTCCTGTCTTGACCGTTTTCGTAAGTTCTTCTGCACTAGAAAGGAGCAGGTCTAGCAGGGTCTCTCCTGTGGTCGAATTCT